CAGTTTACCACACTGGGGGATAGGAACAGTTTCCTCCAGGCATTTTCCTCCCCCCTCCACCTAGTGCCATACCCGCGGTGGGCTGCAAGCGGACGAGGGGGCGCCTTCTTGCAGCTGTCCGGGGCTGGTGTCGCTCCAGGCGGGAGCGGGCTGGAGAAGGGACAGGGACCAGGTGCGGAGCTGGGCTCGAGGCTGACAGGCCTGCGGGGTGGAGAGCCCGGCGAGGTCCTCCCTGGACGCCTGCCTGGCATATCCCTGGTGGATGCGTTTGCCCAGGTCTGGCCCCGGAGCCTTGGCGCCGGGGTGCATCCCCGCACCCGGCCCGTTGTATCCCCTTCATGGCACTCTGACTTAGATCCTTTGGCCCGGAATTTGTTAGGTGGCTTTGCATGGGGGAAGCTGCCACTTTCGTGGGTGGCCTGGGGCTGCACTCTGGGGAGTAGGCAGTGGGCAGGGGGCGGTGTTCGCGAATCCGGGCGCTAGAAGGCGGCCTGGGCGGGGTGGGCACAGCGTTGGTGGTCGAGGTCCGCTGGGTTACAGGTAGGAAGGCAGGCTCCCCAGCGCTCCTTTCTGGGAGAAGGGTAGTTCCCTGATTACAGGAAGCACCCTTGCTGTCCTCCTCCCCCCAAGTCCCTAGTTGCAGGTAGTGGGTGAGCTTGCCAGCCCCCCTCAAACTCACCCCTCCCCGCCCCATTCATGTCAGGGTGTGCGCGTGTGAAGGAGGGCGACCTCTCCCTCTAGGGTTAGTTGGCTGAGGGGTCGACGTGTGCGTGTTTGTGTGCGCGCGCGCGCGCGTTCGCGCGCTCCGGAGGAGGCAGAGTGGAGGCTACTGGAGCTGAGCTTGCTTATGGAAATCGCCTGGGATCCGCTTAACTGGAAAATCTGGTTTGTGGAGGCCGCTCTTGCCCCGTGGGGGATGCAAGGAAGCCTCACGTTCGTCTGCTCTCCCCTGGCGAGGAGCAGCTCCCGGGGAGGCGTGCAGCGCGTGAGCGTCGCTGGTACAGCGCTCAAGGCATCCCAGATTGGTCCTGATGAGAAGGAAGGATAGAGGAGTCATTTTCCAGCAGATTGACAGAGCCAAGTAAAAGCAGCATACCTCTGATCTGTCGAATGATCGGGCCCACTTTCCTCACAGTGATAGAAACGTGCGCTTCTTTATTTATGGCCAGAGAGAACGTTATTTATGGGTAGAGAGAGCTTAGCAATTGGGCTAACTCAAGACAGGCAAGCCACCTCCAGGGTATCTCCTCCCTGTGCCCGCAAATGCACCCTGCCTGCGGTAGTTAGAGATCATTGTAAACAGTGGTGTAAATAAGCATCCCAGCCACAGCCTTTCTTAGAGCCAAACCTGCTGGTTGTTGTGTTTACTTTCCTGGGCGAATTACTCATTAGAAAGTATAAGCCTTCTTGCACCTCTAATTTTGCATCCTTGCAGCCAGCTGCTGAGGAAATGAGGAGACGCATACATAGACTCTGGCAGGAAGGAAAAATTGCCTTGTGTGTTTTGCTGTGAAGTAAATAGGCAGTATGCTAATTTCAATGTCCTATGGGCTGTGATCGCTAGTTGGCTCGTTGAATGTCATCATACAATCTACAAAGGAACACTTTAGTAATTTTTCATACGGAAAATGCTTTGTATCTCCCTATCAGATGAAAAGGAATTTAGGTATAGTTCCCTGCCATATTTTTCAATCTGTAGTGTTACACATCTGGAATTCAATTTATTTATATGTGAATTAAAGACATAATTGTCAGTTACTATATCACTTGAAGGGATTGCAAGATAATTTGTGTAAGAGTTAAAAGAACATTTGTTCTTGAAACATTTCTGTTTGGTTTCCCCCAATCTTTTTTTTTTTTGTAACCAAAGCAAGGGTGGAAAACTACAAATATAAGCAAAGCTTACAAAATGTGATTTTTTCAAGCTAAACTACTTTTAATTTTAATCGCTAATAGTTATTCATTCTCTAGACCTAGGTTAGTTCTGACTGCTTCAGTGTTTCTTGCAGATGACAATGTTCTATTTCATGTTTTTGAATATGGCATTGTGACTATAAGAAAGTACTTTGTTTCTAGGTACTGAAATGTCTAGGCTTTTTTTTTTATTTGTAAATTTCTTGAATTCTTGAAAAAGCTTAGGTTCTGTGCCAGTATAGGAAATCTAAAATCTATACCGAATCACTGGTGGCTGATTTTTATTAACTTGTATTTTTTGCTAAGAGATGTTGCTAGTGATGAACACCCTAGTAGAAAACTTAGAAAATTGTAATTTAATATATACAAATCTAATTCCACATATTTGTTTCATTTCTAGAGAGTATGTATTGAAAGTCTTTATAGTTGCAAATATTTCTGGAGCTTAGGAATACTTGTCCTTCTGTGTTAGAAGATCTAATCACAAGGATTCCCAATCTCACATTAGAAGATTCTTTCAGATCTGTCCTTTGTTTCCTAACAGTCAGACATTCCACAGGTCCTGATGTCATTAGAACTGTGTCTATCAGTGTATGGTGCTGTCTTTAGCTGAAGGTGAATGTGTCAAAGTGCTTGAATAGCATTCCATCACACTTCTTTATCACTAAATAGTCAATACCCTGCATCTCTATTGATGTATACTTGTCTGGATTGATTCCATAAACTCCGGGTGGGAGAGATGATTAGGATAAAGGTTTATATGAATGATTTATATTTTTAGATAGAGATGTTAGGGCCGCATCAAGCATCCCTGGCCTGAAGAGGGATAAGACAGCATGTGATTTGCCTGATGGGCAAATGCTTTTGATGTCTCATTTTAGGTTACTTGGTATGATTATCAGAATGAAAGCCCTTCTTGGAAATATGAATGGATGCTCTTTCAGAAATGATTTTCTTAATAATGGTTTTACATTTGCAGACAAATATTTCTTGCCATGGAGAATAATAACAGCAAACATGGGGCTTAACTGGTTCTGGCTACTGTGCCTGGCATGGTCTCTAATAATTAGGACAGGTTCTCAATTTTTTAAATGGATTTGACTTACCTTTAATTATTTTGTGAGTTTTTGCTAAGGGAACCCACAATTTTAGATTTAAAAGGTTTATATCATCACTAGGATTGTACTTGGCCACATACTGTAAGAAACTGAATTGTTTTGCAGACTTGATTTGGATCACTTAAAGCATTGGTTCAAACTCTCTTTTAACAGGACTGCCAGGTACAAGTGACAGTAACTGTTATAAGTGTGCTTTTTGCAGAAATCAGCAAAATAATTTTCATTTTAATTATTAAGATAACATGGTGATTTTGAGAAATACTACATAACCCTAACTTACCATGGTGTGAGTGATGGCAGCAGTTGGAATTAGCGAGAGATCCTTCTTTTAATTTAGCAAGTGACTATTTTCCCTTTGATTTCTTGGATTTGCATTGCATTCAAAATGTGCTTTCCCTCAAAAAGGGAGTAGCCTTAAAGACACGGGTGGCTTACATTTGGGCATTTGTTTGCCTTAGGGACACTTCTGTTTCCATTGTATTGTGCCTTTCTTTTATGCAAATGTATTTCTTTGTATAATATCATGCTCGACAGTACAAGAAACATTAAAACATGCAAATGTGAGTCACATTTGCTTGACCTTCCCCCTTTCTCTCTCTATGTATATGTGTGTGTTTGATTAGGGAGTTGTTGTTGATTAATGGGAATTATATATATAAATTCATTTTGGTATTAATGCTTATTAGCATATTTGCAAACGTAGTGCACGCATACCTCTAGATAACTTTTGAATGCTTAAATGTAATGTTTATATGCCAAGAAATTTTAATGCCATTAACTTGGTCTGGGTATCAAGATAGACCAATAAAATAAACTCTATTACTGCATAAATAGCTGGGAATGACTTTCTTTACAATTGTAAAGTATGTTCATTCATTCAAAAGAACAAAAATGCATTTAAAAATAAAATTAGCTGTCCTTCTCTAAAGTATTGTAATTCTCCATTATTTTGAGGAATGGGTGAGATGGGAGATTACTGTTTGCATTTTATCATAGCAAGTTTTGTTTGTTTCATACACTAATTTATATATTGTTATTTATACTTAAATATAAATTTTAATATTAATGGATTCACCAGAGTGACTACATAAACTCTTGAGAAGAAATGAGCATTTAATCCATATTATTCCAGAGTTTAAATGGAATGTTGTTGTTGGTATTCCTATTCATTTGAAAGCCTTCTCCAGTGGGAACATGACCTGGCAGAATACTGTCTGATAAAGCTTTTTTGATGATTAGTCTGTGGAGTAGATAATTGTTTCCATTAATGACTCTTAAAGTGTGTTTGGGGATATAGCATGGGTATCCTATGCCCCTTCCAAAGGGTCTGTGAAGAGAAGAATGGTTTACCCATCACTCTCATCCTTTGACTAGTGGACCCTGGCATTTTCCAGAAGCTATATGACATATGATGATTCATTCCAGTGTTGTGAGGACAAATGTCATATATGCTTGTTTACATTCTCATATTAAAAAAAAACTTTCCATTTTAATATTTAATCAGTAAATATTGATAGTCTTAGCCATCATAATCAAAAGATGCTTTAGGTTATCAATACTTTTTTAAGAGT